CCTCCTCCCCCAAATCTTGGTGCTGATCTAGCGCCGCTGCCCCCCACATTAATTGCCCTCCCCCCATCTTGCTCATCCGCATTGATTCGAGAGCAAGCAGGCAGGGCGGCTTCGAGCTCTCGTCACCCCCGCAGAGTCCAATCCTTTGGTCTTTGGGCCTCGTTGGTTTTGATCTGGGAGGGGAGGCTCGGTGATCTGTGGCGGGTCGTGATTTGATCTGAAAGTTGTGATTTTTTGTGGGGAGGGGTCGGAGGATTTGTTTGTTGGTCCGTCATGGGGACGGGGGCGGTGGCGCCGGAGCGGCCGAAGCAGCGGCGGGGCGGGCACCTGTGGAAGCGGGCGGTGCTCCACTTCTCGCTCTGCTTCGTCATGGGCTTCTTCACCGGCTTCGCGCCCTCCTCCTCCTCCTCCTGGAGGCCTGGCGGCGGGGGCGGCACGCCGCCGCCGATTCTCGCGGCGGAGCAGCTCGCCGCGTCCCGCGTCGCGGGTAATAGGGACCAGCATATCAGCCTGGCGCCGCCCTCGCCGGAGGGCGCGGCGGCGGCCGGCGGGGGCGGCGCGGTGGTGGACCTGGACGACGACGAGGAGAGCGGCCCGCGCCGGATGCTGATTGTGGTCACCACGACGCGGTCCGGGGCAGGGGAGCGGAGGCGCAGGCGGCCGGAGCTGCTGCGGCTCGCCCACACGCTGCGGCTGGTGCGCCCGCCGGTCGTCTGGGTGGTGGTGGAGCCGGCGGCCGACGCGCCCGCCACGGCCGAGGTGCTCCGGGGCACCGGGGTCATGTACCGGCACCTGGCCTTCCGCCCCGAGGAGAACTTCACCACCGCCGCCGCCGAGGCCCACGCGCAGCGCAACGCCGCGCTCGCCCACGTCGAGAAGCACCGCCTCTCCGGCGTCGTCCACTTCGCCGACGCCGCCGGCGTCTACGACACCCACTTCTTCGAGGAGATCCGCCAGATCGAGTGAGTACCAAATCTTAGTTCATCCATTCCCTCTGCTTCCTTCGTTCTGAGCCAAAATCTTAATTTCTACTAGTAGCAGATTGCAAATTACAATGTGCCAAACTGACTGATTTCGATGCACAAATGCTGCAACTTCTCTTCTTTTCACCGTTCTTTCAGGGTGCTGAATCTATAATTTCTTCTCCTTCTTCTTCAATTTTTAACAGCTGTAGTTAATTAATTTCAGATTGTTTTAGGTGGGCACCGACTAGGGTTCCTCATCCCTAACCTCCACTTCTCAATTTAGTACACTACTAGTACAACTAATTTTAAAGGTTTTGGCAGCCGTGTAGTTTGGTGCAGAGTATAATTGAAGGCAGCACAAGCTGTCATTAGTGGGGGAGGAATAAGGGTTTAGAATAAGATGATTGACCCCTCACATCATCACCATGAACATTGCAAATGCAGCTGAGAGACTGTGATCTGATGCAAAGGGGTCAAATTATTGGATCCACCTTTACCTCTTCTTTATTCCCTTTCCTCCAGCATACTATGCTTCTGCTGTTGCAGATTTTAAAATTTACTAACAATCTTTTGCTTTTGATTTTGCTTACCCCCACAACGACCAAATTGTGTTGCAAAGTTGCAGCCACTCCGATTAGTATAGTTTAATTAAGACTTTTAGACGTGGCTCGTGAGCCATGGGCAAAGCAGAGCTGTATAAAAAAAACAGCACTACTGATTAGTACTTTAACAGTAGGGCTAACTACTAGCTGTTGGCTCTCGCTGACATGCGGGGCCGCTCCGGCACTAACCTAACTAAACACACATTGAATGGACCTAAAGCATGCATTAAATGTTGAGATGTTGATGCTCCTAACATTTGGTTGGAAGAAATTTGCTAAAAATGTTGAGAGGTGGTAGAAGATAGTAGTAACCGTTAGAAGCCATGGCCATTGAACTCCATTAAAAGAAATGCCCACACCTGTTGCTTTCTCTGACTGACTCCCATGTGTGGCCATTTGAAATGCACAGCCAAATTTGCCTACCGTTTTGGAGCAGATTTTCCACAACGGTGTGACCGCCAGCTGTTCATGGAGACTGCACATGAGGGATTAGCGCCTGAATTCTTGCAAATAAGCAAGGGCAATTTTCTTTTAACCGACACTAGATGCCGATGATTGGTGCCTAACATGACCATCCATTTCCCTCGTAGCTGTCCTCCAATATTGTGGTTCTGGCATCCATCAGCAGCCACAGAATGTGACTGGTGTGTCAACGTTTGCTTTCTCCGACCCTGTTAAATTCCAGGTCAAACATACCGTCTTTGTTCTATCAAAAAGGCCTAACATTTGACCTCCAATTTAGCTCTTGCTCATCCAGCCAAACCATTTTTGTGGAGACTGTAAATCAAATCCTTCCAAGGCTTTTACTTCTAAAATAGTAGCATTCTGACTTTCATGAGTACTTGCTTTCATAATAAGAAGAAATAAATCCTTGTTAGTAGTAGTAGTAGTACTATGGTACTACAAATACTACTAATGTCATGTGAGAGCATGGTGTTTTTCTTTTTAAAAGGTGTTAATATTCATATTCCCATGAAGATGAAGAAGAATCCTTTTGGTTTGAGGGGAACATGATGAGACCAAAGCACTCCTCTCTTATCCAAGCAACCTTTTGCTGCATCTCGCCAGCCCACATAGTTTTTACTATTCGTGTAGAGTTCCTCGTGATGCGTGCACATGTGGCCCCTCGTGTGCTTTTCTGGGGGCACCAGCTCACAACACAACAGACCTAGCTGTTTTTAGCATCAGCCCCAATATGACCTGGTGTGCGTGTCCCAGAATTTACCTGTTCAGTCACCGCAAATGAAGTACAGTACAGTCTGGCTTTGGCATTGGTTTTGACCAGGGTTAAAAGTCTCCCCCGTGTTTAACTTGGGATTAGAATTAAGAGTACTTCTAATCCTAGATTACTAAAATATACTTAAACTTTTGTACTGTTTGCCTAATTGCCTGGACAAGTGTACTTAACCTGAATTTAGTACATTGTTTGCAGTAGTGTTTGACCTGACCATACATTGCATTGTGAAAGTTTGTGCGCGATGAAGTCTTGCGCTCGTTGTCAACGATTGTCTCAGCTGTTCGTCACTCGTCGGCATGCGTTGGCAAGTGGATGATTTAGTCTATTCCCACGTAGTATTGTGAGACAGTTGCATGCAATAAATCACTCGCCTTGTATTGTGTTCCATGCCTAGTGTCTAGTAGCGTGGAGACGGGTGGGAGGAAGTTTTAGAATACTAGCTGTTTTCATGATGCCTTCAACAAGGCAGCATGTGGAAGGTGTGCTAATGGAGTTGTGGCCACATATCTTTTCTTGTTCAAATATCTTAGATTAAGAGATCTTCTAATTATTTAACTCAACTTGCCCATGCACGTTTGGTGTCCTTTGGAGCCTAATTCTGGGCAAGGTTTAGTGTATTATTTTCCTTGGATCTCTAGCCTTAATCACTGACCAGTCAAGTTGAGGTTGATATAATGGCAGCTAACTCTTGAATTACATGCTTGCAAGTGACTATTGGATGATATTTACTTGATGCATTGTATTGATGTTCCTTCTAATGGTTGAAATGGACAGGGCGTTTGGCACATGGCCGGTGGCAACGATGTCCGCGGGCGAGAAGAAAGTAGTGGTTGAGGGCCCACTGTGCAGCGCCTCGAAGGTAGTCGGCTGGTTCTCGAGGAACTTCAATGATGGCACCACCCGTTCAGTGACATATAACACTGAGGTTGACTTGAATCCTGCCGGTGCTGCTGGCACGCGAGCCCACACGATCGATGTATCAGGGTTTGCGTTCAACAGTTCTATTTTGTGGGACCCTGAGCGATGGGGACGACCGACGTCATTACCGGACACTTCACAGGTTAGTTCACTTGCAGTAACGCTGTCAACCTAATGCTTGTTATGCTTTGCAAATGTACAAAACAAGCCATTTTCATATATTAAACTTGTTTTCATTGTGATGAAGTATCAAGTCAAGTAATGATCTCTGATTGGCACATCACAGTTGTTGATCAGGCCACACACAACATTTAAGTAATAGGACCACACATTGCGCAACTACTTATCTATACCATGACATTCTCAAAAAAAGTAGTTGTGGAATTTGAAGAAGATTTGATTAATTGAGGGACTGGGTCTTGGCTAAAATAGTTTTAGTTTGTCCATTTCCTGATCTCATGACAGCCAAATAATAAACCTCCGAAACTAGCGAGCCCACTAGGATCCTCAGAAGCGTGGACTGCATGTCCAGCTTAAAGCAGATCCAAATAATTTTCAGCTTGAATGGAATTTTATCATACCTTTTTAAACTCAAAATTTAACAAGTCAATCTGATAAAAAAATCTTATCCTGTCAATTGGTGGAAGGCCACTTGCAGTTCGAAAAAAATCATGCTGTCCACTATTTAGTTAAAAATGACATCCTTGTAGTTGACTGACCTGGTACTTTTCAAGGTAATAAGTATCGTTAGCTGAATGGTTAAGTAATGTTGTGGGTTACGATTTCTGCTCATGATCTCCTCAGCCCTGATATTTTCCTATCTGAATTCACTGCCCGGCTTACACAATTATCAACTTCCCTTTCGAAGTTGACTGACCTGGCGTTACACAATGATCAACTTCCCTTCAACGCAACATCGAGGGGAACAGGTGGCAATTATTTGTCCCACCATCACTTTCATGCACTCCTTTTTCTTAAACTTGTGATCTCAGTTTTTGTTCGTCTCACCGACTCACCTACTTAGCGCGTCATCATCCTAGAGCTGCATCCCACTAGTGGTACTGATAGGTACATGCGCCACTACAACCAACCGAAGCACTGATCGCTGATTGAAACAAGATAACGGAGCGCTTCGGCCCCTCTGCGAATCCCTCACTCCATCTGTGTCACACTGCTGGGTAGTTGCACCAGAAAGACCCAAATTTCCAACCACCACAATGCATTGGGCCATATCCAAGAAGCTAATAATTTCCTTAGAACTGAACTGCTACCAAATGGTCCAGTGCTTATCTTTCTTTTGGTTACTCAACAGGACTGATTCTCCCAGCTAATAATTCACACTACTCTCTTCCCGTGGCATGATTGGTTGCAGGACTCGATCAAGTTTGTGCAAGAGGTGGTGCTGGAGGACAGGACAAAGCTGAAGGGGATCCCCTCCGACTGCTCCCAGATCATGGTGTGGCAGTATGATGTGCCTAGTAGCCCCAACACCCCCATAACCAAAACCAAAACCGCCACCCCGAAAACCCACCATAGAAGAAGGTAGGGAGGAGGGCGATGGGACTGAACAGGAGCAAAATCATCCGCGGAGAAGAACAGTGTCGGAAATGGAGTTTATGTAAGTAAATGTGGCGAAAACAAAAAGGAAAAGGAGGAAGGTTGCTGCTTACACTGAGTTTTTTTTTCTTTCTCTCAATTTTGTCCTTTTTTCCCTTGGGGGGTCATGAATTGTCCTCTGGAAATGGAAATCGACCCCCGGGCAATAGTATTATTTATTCAGATTATTTTACCTGTGATTCTTTAACCCCGACCGCCCCTCCTCGCTCCTCCGGGTGATCTCTCGCGGATTCTCCGTCTGTGGAGTGCAAGCGTGCAAATAAGCTGTGTAGAAAGTTTGAGAAATCTTGCAGATGAAATGATGAATTCACAGCATGGGCTTCCAGCAAATTTCAGCATAAATGAACTGTTTCGCCTGTTTTTCTTTGCTGTTGTTCAGAATTGCTGTAAAATCCAGAACAATTTAGTTTCTTGTTTGGGAGAAAACAGCTGTGCATCGTACCACGTGGCAGTGGCAGTGGCAGCGAGATCTGCGGCGATGAACTGAAATGAATGCGGCCAGATCTACTGGAGTACTACCAGTCCTCCATTATTGGAGTTGGAGCTGGTTAACGCGCACGCCGTACTGCCCACGGCGCGTATGCAGCCGACAACCTTTCAAGTGTCGGCAGCACAGCGAAGTCCGATTCCTGACTGACACCGACGTGCTGACTGTGCTATGCTGTGCTGTGCTGTGCTGGTGCATCGTTGTGGGTGGGCTTTCTGACGATGATCACGGAACGGAAGTAGCCATCCCTGTGAAATGAAATGATGCCGCTTACCCACGCTCGAACGCACAGGTTTCGAAACGCCCCCTTTGGTTCATGTTTTCCTAGTAGCAATGGAGGATCAAAATCCTTAGAAAATATCACATGTTGGTAATTTATTTATTTATTTTAAACACAGTAAAGACGCAGACGCTCATACATACGCACATACACTATGTTGGTTATTCAGTTATTATGATTGAATCCAAGTGGACTTTCTCAAAGAATTGATTGCGCTGTTTTTCTTAAATTTTCCATCCACCCAAACATCTCGCGAAGACTTGTTTTCCGTGTGTTGGAATCAACCATACTCTGGTGCGAATGAAATCCTATAGGGTTCAGAAGAACATGACATTGCTATCCTATGATTTCCTATTTCTACGCTTTTGCGATCCTAAGAATAAAAAGAGAGGCTCTAACCCGATGAACTTTGTTCCAAAAATGTGAAGTTGACACTTCTCGTATGTCACTACTAAACATGAGTAGTACTCTTTTGGCAGAACAAAACATGTGGTGCGTCTTTTTTTGTCTATAAATTTGGAAAATATTTTTACTTCATTATTTTATATAGCCAGTTTAAAAAGGTGGTCTTTTCCGTGTGTTGCAAAAAGAAAAATATCTACACTTATATACAACATGTCCAATGTAGTTTTCTTTGAGAAAATTCTGCTTGATATGAGCAAATTTTTAGAATGTTCATGTACTTCCAAAAATGTACTGTCTGTGAAAAAAAACCGACCATCTTCTATGAGGAAAAAGTTCACGCATGAAAAAATAATGTCCATGTGTTGAAAAAGAAAATTGTCCACACATATGGAAAAGAAATTCATGTTATGCTACAAAATTTGGATGTATATCATTTAAAGAGTTCACATGAACACATAAAAAATCATGTACTTTAAAGAAATTCTACGTGTGAATGAAGTATTCAGGTGATGCAAGAAAAAGTTTGAGCATATCTCAATAGATGTTCATTTTTTAATTTTTGCATATCTTTTAAAAAGTGTCCATGTACCTCCTAAAGAGCAGAATAAACGGAAAAAGAAAAAAGAATAACAAAAGAATAACAAAATATAAAAGAAAAATAACAAAAATGGACATGACATGAAAATACTAAAAATGAAAAAACATAACTCAAAAAAGGAAGAAGAGAAAACAGTATGAGTAGCACAGTAGATTCTTGACTGACATTGATGTGCTGATTGTGCTTGTGCTTCTTCTATACCTATCCCTGTGAAATGATGCCACTTACCCACGCTCACGTACATGCACATGTTTTCGGAAGTTAACCCGACATAATTTTGTTCAAAATTATGAACAATCGTTTCTCCTATTGGGAAATTTGGATAGTACTTTTTTTAAGAACAAAACATGAGTACTACTATTTAGCAAAAAGAAAAAACATGAGTACTACTCATACTGTTTCCTCTTTTTCTTCTTTTTTGAGTTGTGTTTTTCTCCTTTTTTGGGGTTTTAGGCTTCAGCTCTCTCTTTTAGGCATCTCTTTCATTTTAGGTTTTTTCAGGGTCTCTTTCGTTTTTACATGGTATTGAATTATTATTTTTGCTAGGGCAGGTAGCATTGAATTAGCACAGATACTATTCCCCGTGCTGGTCGACAGAAATCTAGCAACGGCTCAAAACCACCTAGATTTCTATCGTTATTTCTCTCTTTCATGGATTTCGTAAAAAAATAATCAAAATTCATGATTTTCTTTTAATATTAATGATTAGTTTGTAACAAATCCTTTTGTGCAAAATCAAAATATGAAACATCGCTCAAAACTGGCCACAAAACCGACCGAGGTTCGTCCCTTTCGCTACACTATAAAAGAAAAAAAAGTCGCTATTATAAAAATAATGGGCTGGCCCAAAGAGAGGCGCTGCACGAGTTTTCATTAAGGTAACATTTCACCTATTTTTCTACCAGACGCTCACTGCGTTAAATAGCGACGCAAACAAACTAGCGACTGGACCGACCCAATATGGGCGTTCGTTCTCCCGAGAGGGATCCTGCCCCCGTTTTAGTTTTTTTTTTACCTTTTTCAGTTTTTCAGCGTCTACCATCTTCTTCTTTTTTTCTCTTTTGGTTTTCTCCTTCTCCGTTTACATTTTTCTTCTGATGATTTTCCTTTCAATTATTTCTGGTTTTCCATTTTTTCAGTAGGTCTTTTTATTTTGCTTTCTGTTCCATTTCCTTTTTAAATTTCATAAATATAATTGCTTTACACATAATGTATTTTTCGTAAATACATGATCATTTTTTGTGAAATAAAAGAAGCCATCCCTGTGAAATGAAATAATGCCACCTGCCCACGCTCGCATGCAATGGCGGAGCTTCATGGGGGCCAACCTGGGCCATGCCCCCCTCCCACCCAGCTC